TTCTGCGGGAGGTTTGTGACCTTTTGTGCACACAGAAGGTCCGGACTTCCCCCTACCACCCGCAGACCGATGGTATGGTCGAACGTCTACACCGGACCATTACCTCTATGTTGTGTCATCAGGTAGACGACACACAGTTGGATTGGGACCTGAGGATTCCCGGAGTTCTGGCCGCATATAGGTTAGCGCCTCACGCGGCCACGGGCTATTCGCCCTTCTACTTAATGTACGGCAGGGAAGTCGACCCCCCCGTGGAGGTGCAATTGCGGGTCCAGTCTGCGGCTTCTCGCTCGAAACTGTCCGAACACGCTCAGTTCAATATTCGGAAGTTGGTCGAGGCGAGGGTGGCCGCGCAGGAAAATTCCAGGGCAAGGCAACGGGCCAATGAGCGTCTGTATGATCGCCGGGTTACGGTGTATAGAGGAAAATTGCAATCAATAATCAAGTCAGACAGTATCGCATTGGAGATGGCCTTCTGCTGTGGGTGGCTCATGCTGTAACGCCCTACACGAGTGTCCAGGAATTGTGAGATTGAAGGCTGTTGTGGTTCATCTACGATGCTTTTGTTCATCTGGTATTCTTCATACCTGTAACAGAAAAGAATATGAAACAGATGTCAGAAAATCCCTTATAGCCACACATGTTGTATTTGAAACTACTCTTTACTCATATCAATGTTGTTGTGTTAATATTCATTGTCTATTGTACACTACGGTATACGATAATACATTTCAGTTTCAGTGTATGCAATATTAAGAATATTTTCACTGCTTCAAAAGTCATAAGAAAGCCCTTTCCCTCAAGAAACTGAAGTCATATGCTTTATAGCAGTGGTTTTCAAAGTGGGGACGGGGACCCCTGGGTGCCGCGAGGGGGTGCTAGGGGGGCCATGGCAAGTTGGCATGAAAAGTATAGCAAAACAAAATAATTGAATAAATTAAATAAGTAAAATAAACCAAATTAAACCAAAAATAAGCTAAACAATATCCCCATTAGTTAAGAACTCCACTATAATAATCTATTGCATCTCTGAACATTACTACTATAATCGTTATTATTTTATTATATACTGTATATATCCCAGTGGTGCGCTGCCTCACAGACCTAGACTACGGTAGCACGCTATGTCCATGCGCTGCCTGCTGTTTGGGCATGATATGAAAAGGGAAGGCTAATGGTGGATCTTCTGTGACTGTGTCATCATTTTCCTCTTTACAGTGTATATGTCTTACTATGTTTCCTGTTGTACTTGGATGGGTTTAGGGATGCACCAACTCCATCGAGTTGTGAAAGGAGGTGCACAGAAAAAAGAGTGTGGCACGGCCCATGTCAGGGGGGCCTTGGCTGGAATCTACTGGTATATGGGGGGCCTTGTCATGGTAAAGTTTGGGAACCCCTGCTTTATAGTTCACTCTCTCCTGCACACCAGATTCCATGGTGCCTTGCTGCATCACACAGCAATTGCAGGTCTACTGCTGCCTCATTCATTGTTTAATTGTGATAGTTTATGTCTTCAGCGACAGTTCAGCTTAGTTGTGATTAACCAAAATTACATAAACGACCTCAATGAGGCAGCACACCAGCCACTCTGAAACTGAACGATTGAAAGAGTAAAACTGGAAGGCCTGTTTTTGTCTCATGTGTGTTGGAGAGACTGAGATATACATTTGTGTTTATCCGTCTAGCAGCAAGGTAGAAATGATACTTTAAAACGGACGTTGACATGATGTTGAAGAGGTTTTCCATCTGAGTGTGCTACACTCATGTACCTCATATAATCGGGGTTCAAAAATCCCTATTTTTGTAAGCATTAACCAGCAAGGGAGACGTGCGTTTACTGTCTCGTTGATACAGTAAATATGCAGCAGCTAGTAAGTTACGGTACATCCGATAAGGTGCTTAGCATTCGTTCAAAACTTACCTTTCTTTGTGCAACTTCAGGTGTCGAACAAAGTTAGACGTTGTGGCAGCACCGTCTGTAATCTTCGACCCGCATGTTTTGCAAATTGCAACTCGTTTTTTGTCGACTACATCGTAATTTTTATAGCCAAACGAAACTATCTTCGGTATCATTTTGCCAACTGGCGCATTGTTGCTTGTTGCGCTTCATTGGTTGTCTTGCAATGTGCCTGCTTAGATGCTGTCCAATCAAAACAACGTGGGACTACAGTGATTGGATGTCGTGCAGGCAGCGCGCGTGCTCTCTGCATGCATACAGGTGGTGCACATTTTTTTCACAAATGCAGATAAACTGAGAGCGGCGCGGCCGTGTGAACATTTTTTCCCCCAGTTTTCATGGGAAGTAGCAAGTCTTCTCGAGTCAAAAGGCGCAAGTCCAAGTGAAGTCACGAGTCATTGATGTTAAAGTCCAAGTCGAAGTTGCAAGTCTTTGTACATTTTGTCGAGTCGAGTCTGAAGTCATCAAATTCATGACTCGAGTCTGACTCGAGTCCAAGTCACATGACTCGAGTCCACACCTCTGGCCACTCACTCCACATCGAACAGCCCCCCTAATTAATAATCATAAGGTGACGTCCTCCAAATGGACACCTCCCACCATTCATAATAATTAGCGGCTGACGTCACTCCACATGGGGGGCCGAGGTGCCTCCTCCCCCCTCCTCAGCGTTAACTTACAAACCTCACTACAAAGGCAAAACCCTCAAGTCAAGCAATCTCCGTAATGCTATTGAGACATCAAAGTAAAAAGGACGTCATGATGAACAAGGGATTATAACCTTAAAATGAAATAGGTCTGTGTCACTGCGCCCTTACAAATTGCACACGCATTAATGCAATGAATATCACGTCGCGGTCTGCTTTTTGCTTGCAAGTTTCAGATTAACTGCAATACACCCGTCCTTGGACGGGCTAAAGGCTAGTTGTAAATAATTGAGCAGTTTTACATACAGTGAGGGAAAAAAGTATTTGATCCCCTGCTGATTTTGTACGTTTGCCCACTGACAAAGAAATGATCAGTCTATAATTTTATGGTAGGTTTATTTGAACAGTGAGAGACAGAATAACAACAACAAAATCCAGAAAAAACGCATGTCAAAAATTTTATAAATTGATTTGCATTTCAACGAGGGAAATAAGTATTTGACCCCTCTGAAAAACATGACTTAGTACTTGGTGGCAAAACCCTTGTTGGCAATCACAGAGGTCAGACGTTTCTTGTAGTTGACCACCAGGTTTGCACATATCTCAGGAGGGATTTTGTCCCACTCCTCTTTGCAGATCTTCTCCAAGTCATTAAGGTTTCGAGGCTGACGTTTGGCAACTCGAACCTTCAGCTCCCTCCACAGATTTTCTATTGGATTACGGTCTGGAGACTGACTAGGCCACTCCAGGACCTGAATGTGCTTCTTCTTGAGCCACTCCTTTGTTACCTTGGCCGTGTGTTTTGGGTCATTGTCATGCTGGAATACCCATCCACGACCCATTTTCAATGCCCTGGCTGAGGGAAGGAGGTTCTCACCCAAGATTTGACTGTACATGGCCCCGTCCATCGTCCCTTTGATGCGGTGAAGTTGTCCTGTCCCCTTAGCAGAAAAACACCCCCAAAGCATAATGTTTCCACCTCCATGTTTGACGGTGGGGATGGTGTTCTTGGGGTCATAGGCAGCATTCCTCCTCCTCCAAACACAGGAGTTGAGTTGATGCCAAAGAGCTCCATTTTGGTCTCATCTGACCACAACACTTTCACCCAGTTGTCCTCTGAATCATTGACAAACTTCAGACGGGCATGTATATGTGCTTTCTTGAGCAGAGGGATCTTGCGGTCGCTGCAGGATTTCAGTCCTTTACGGCGTACTGTGTTACCAACTGTTTTCTTGGTGTCTATGGTCCCAGTTGCCTTGAGATCATTGACAAGATTCTCCCGTGTATTTATGGGCGGATTCCTCACCGTTCTCATGATCATTGCAACTCCACGAGGTGAGATCTTGCATGGAGCCCCAGGCCGAGGGAGATTGACAGCTCTTTTGTGTTTCTTACATTTGCGAATAATCGCACCAACTGTTGTCACCTTCTCACCAAGCTGCTTGGCGATGGACTTGTAGCCCATTCCAGCCTTGTGTAGGTCTATAATCTTGTCCCTGACATCCTTGGAGAGCTCTTTGGTCTTGGCCATGGTGGAGAGTTTGGAATCTGATTGATTGATTGCTTCTGTGAACAGGTGTCTTTTATACAGGTAACAAGCTCAGATTAGGAGCACTCCCTTTAAGAGTGTGCTCCTAATCTCAGCTTGTTACCTATATAAAAGACACCTGGGATCCAGAAATCTTTCTGATTGAGAGGGGGTCAAATACTTATTTCCCTCATTGAAATGCAAATCAATTTATAACATTTTTGACATGCGTTTTTTCTGGATTTTGTTGTTGTTATTCTGTCTTTCACTGTTCAAATAAACCTACCATTAAAATTATAGACTGATCATTTCTTTGTCAGTGGGCAAACATACAAAATCAGCAGGGGATCAAATACTTTGTTCCCTCACTGTATATAAATTGCATTGGCATATGTGGTCATTGACACGGTAAAACTAGTCAAGATGGTGTGGTGGTGTTGCAGTGTCAAGAAAAGTGCTTCATGGTGTCTTAAACTCTCTTCTCATTTGACAGCAATTGGAGAGTACAGCCATGTCTTTAGCTGCATGCAGTGAGGCATGGGGCGTCTGCGAGAATGCCGGCAATTCACGGAGCAAGACCAGAGGTCGAGCCATGCTGCCCACGTCTAGAGAGGTATTTGTGTGCTTGAATAATAATAGTGAAAATTATTGTACAGGCAGACCTTGCTTAGCGCTCAAAATGTGTATGCTGGAGAAGTGGCCACTAATCAAATCGGCGCATAAAGGAGTTCATTAGACAATTGTATATATGGGGATGCATTCCCAACAGCTTTAATTCTTACATGTGTAATGCGAGCGTAGGCTGGGGCTTCGCCGCCCCAGCCCCTAACCCATCCAGGCGACACGAGCCATCGGGGGAAGGGTTCAAGGGTGGAGCCCGCGGGCGCTAGGGGGTGGTATTATCTGGAAAGTTCTCAAGGGGTGTGGTGAAGGGCAGAGTCTGGGTGACGCGGGAAGGGGATATAATGGAGAGCCGGAAGGGGCTCGAGGTCAGTTGGTGAGAGCTGGAAGCTGGACCACGTCGCGGGTCTCCGTGAGCCATCGGCCACGTGGCGACGCGGAGACGGCTCCCAGCGCGCCGTCTGCCAGCGGTGCGCGGGAGCGGGGAAGCGGGACGCCAGCTCACGCGACGCGCCGCGGAACGTCCGAGAGAGCGGAACGCGAGCTGTCCATATAACGAAGAAATAAACAGACGGAGACACAGTCGCTTCTTCTTGGTTCTTTCGGTAAAGTCACGTAGAAGGGAAATAATAAAATAATAAAAATAAAACATAATAAAATACAATTTACACTATGGGGACCTCATTTGCCAGTAAAAATATGATAATTGGTTCTTTACCCTTCTATCTGGCAACAAAACTGACACCTTTTTGCAAGGAGTCATGTTTGCATAGACCGCAATACCTGCAGTCATAATACAAACAAAAGAACATAACTCTGATAATGTGCACTGTCCTTGAAGTTGATTGGTCCACACCCGAGACAGCTTTCCTTCGAGCCTAGTCTCATATTGGTTGGACCAGATGACGCCAAAAGGCGCACAACTCAAGGACAATGCACCATCAGAGTATGAGAGCTCGGGGCAAGCATCTACACTATGGGGACCTCATTTGCCAGTAAAAATATGATAATTGGTTCTTTACCCTTCTATCTGGCAACAAAACTGACACCTTTTTGCAAGGAGTCATGTTTGCATAGACCGCAATACCTGCAGTCATAATACAAACAAAAGAACATAACTCTGATAATGTGCACTGTCCTTGAAGTTGATTGGTCCACACCCGAGACAGCTTTCCTTCGAGCCTAGTCTCATATGGGTTGGACCAGATGACGCCAAAAGGCGCACAACTCAAGGACAATGCACCATCAGAGTATGAGAGCTCGGGGCAAGCATCTACACTATGGGGACCTCATTTGCCAGTAAAAATATGATAATTGGTTCTTTACCCTTCTATCTGGCAACAAAACTGACACCTTTTTGCAAGGAGTCATGTTTGCATAGACCGCAATACCTGCAGTCATAATACAAACAAAAGAACATAACTCTGATAATGTGCACTGTCCTTGAAGTTGATTGGTCCACACCCGAGACAGCTTTCCTTCGAGCCTAGTCTCATATGGGTTGGACCAGATGACGCCAAAAGGCGCACAACTCAAGGACAATGCACCATCAGAGTATGAGAGCTCGGGGCAAGCATCTACACTATGGGGACCTCATTTGCCAGTAAAAATATGATAATTGGTTCTTTACCCTTCTATCTGGCAACAAAACTGACACCTTTTTGCAAGGAGTCATGTTTGCATAGACCGCAATACCTGCAGTCATAATACAAACAAAAGAACATAACTCTGATAATGTGCACTGTCCTTGAAGTTGATTGGTCCACACCCGAGACAGCTTTCCTTCGAGCCTAGTCTCATATGGGTTGGACCAGATGACGCCAAAAGGCGCACAACTCAAGGACAATGCACCATCAGAGTATGAGAGCTCGGGGCAAGCATCTACACTATGGGGACCTCATTTGCCAGTAAAAATATGATAATTGGTTCTTTACCCTTCTATCTGGCAACAAAACTGACACCTTTTTGCAAGGAGTCATGTTTGCATAGACCGCAATACCTGCAGTCATAATACAAACAAAAGAACATAACTCTGATAATGTGCACTGTCCTTGAAGTTGATTGGTCCACACCCGAGACAGCTTTCCTTCGAGCCTAGTCTCATATGGGTTGGACCAGATGACGCCAAAAGGCGCACAACTCAAGGACAATGCACCATCAGAGTATGAGAGCTCGGGGCAAGCATCTACACTATGGGGACCTCATTTGCCAGTAAAAATATGATAATTGGTTCTTTACCCTTCTATCTGGCAACAAAACTGACACCTTTTTGCAAGGAGTCATGTTTGCATAGACCGCAATACCTGCAGTCATAATACAAACAAAAGAACATAACTCTGATAATGTGCACTGTCCTTGAAGTTGATTGGTCCACACCCGAGACAGCTTTCCTTCGAGCCTAGTCTCATATGGGTTGGACCAGATGACGCCAAAAGGCGCACAACTCAAGGACAATGCACCATCAGAGTATGAGAGCTCGGGGCAAGCATCTACACTATGGGGACCTCATTTGCCAGTAAAAATATGATAATTGGTTCTTTACCCTTCTATCTGGCAACAAAACTGACACCTTTTTGCAAGGAGTCATGTTTGCATAGACCGCAATACCTGCAGTCATAATACAAACAAAAGAACATAACTCTGATAATGTGCACTGTCCTTGAAGTTGATTGGTCCACACCCGAGACAGCTTTCCTTCGAGCCTAGTCTCATATGGGTTGGACCAGATGACGCCAAAAGGCGCACAACTCATGGACAGAGTTATGTTCTTTTGTTTGTATTATGACTGCAGGTATTGCGGTCTATGCAAACATGACTCCTTGCAAAAAGGTGTCAGTTTTGTTGCCAGATAGAAGGGTAAAGAACCAATTATCATATTTTTACTGGCAAATGAGGTCCCCATAGTGTAGATGCTTGCCCCGAGCTCTCATACTCTGATGGTGCATTGTCCTTGAGTTGTGCGCCTTTTGGCGTCATCTGGTCCAACCCATATGAGACTAGGCTCGAAGGAAAGCTGTCTCGGGTGTGGACCAATCAACTTCAAGGACAGTGCACATTATCAGAGTTATGTTCTTTTGTTTGTATTATGACTGCAGGTATTGCGGTCTATGCAAACATGACTCCTTGCAAAAAGGTGTCAGTTTTGTTGCCAGATAGAAGGGTAAAGAACCAATTATCAAAATACAATTTTCACGACGTTTCGGCCACAACGCAAGCAGCCGTCCTCAGGTGAAGAACAGGTCTGTCGGGGAGACAGCGTCTGAATGAACACAGTCGCTTGTCGTCGACCTGTATTATTGCACATGTATGAGCAATATATGAGGGCTTCATTGAGGTATTGGTAACAGCACTAATAATACAGATGCTAAAACTTCTTTTGAATAAGTAATATTTTAAAATACTTTTTTTTAAACACGCTTTAATGAAATGTACCGTATGAGTAATGGCAGAACTCCCCAACTCCAGGAAGTGGCCCCGAGGCTTGCCATAATGTAAGGGACCGTGGTCAATTACAGCCTACGTAAGTTGAGCGTTGACAATTAGACCCAAGCCGAAACATAACATATAAAAAAGATTGTTTCAAAATATATATATATTTTTTTGATAGAATCTAGTATTGTCATTGATACGGCTATTTTAATACACACAATGGACTGGAAGGACAAGATTAAAGGGCTCGTATAATGCACATGCATAATGTACGTTGACTCATTAATCGCCCCGCCTCCACTTTACGCAAGAGCGTGAAGTGTGGTCACCACATCTACGCCTCTATATAAGGAACAAAACAGGTGGACTTCTCCACAAATCTGTCTGTCGCCTGATGAAGCTAGTTGTAATACTGGCAAAACATCGTACTCAGATTGTAAATGTTGTGGCTTGGCTCTCCAACACACCAGTGTGCTGTACTAGTGACAAATTGGCATGTTCTGTTTACATTACAACCCTTACTAGTTGGCTGTGTCGGGTGGTGGTGGATTTTAACGACACATATATTTACACGATCTAACAAAACAAACCTCTTATGGATGATATTCGTCGTGAAAGCCTACGTGTTAAACGGGATATTCGATGTCCCCTGTGAAGCCGATGGCGTTTATTTTACGGCTCGTACATCTTAGTATTAACCAGGACGGCCTGTCGGAATAGAACCGCAAACCTCTGCAACAAGTGGCAAATGCACTACCGCTGAGCCACGTCAATTATCTTATTCATAAACTTAGGTTTCCACGGCCAGCGTTATGATGCATAGTTGATTTGTGGGCTTAATTGAGGAGTGTGTATGTTCTCCACCTGCTGTACATGGACGACTCGTAGACTGAACTCTTAGTAAGGGCTTGCACCAGTTTATTAACACAGAGGTAACAAAACACACCAGAGGTAGGTGTCCCTACACTCAGTCCTTGACGCGGACGTCAGGCTCTATCTATTCCTAGCCTGGGCTATCTCTTGGCCTCTCACTCGAGTTGGGATGGGGGCTTATCCAACACCACCCGACCGAGGAGAGCAGCACCCCACGTAATCTTAACCGGCTCTTGCAGACTTCTCTGAGCCCTACCCCTGGCTGTATCTTCGGCTCTCCTACTCGTAGAACCCGGACGGGGGATCAGCCAACACCGTCCGGTCACGAGCAGGAGAGACCTTCTTAAGACGCTCACCATCCCGGGCTCCCACAATGACCCCGCTTTCGCCACGGGGTCCCCCTTAAGTATTTCCCGTGACATGACGTCATTGCGCCTCACAGCGCTCATGATGTCATGTCGTCATACTACTCTACACATGTTTAGTGAGTGACATTGGGGATGTCACTGTATGGTGCCGGACAGCATCGTGTGTGTTGCAGAGTGATGCCGGCTCTAGCAGAGCACGGCGTGCGATGCACTGTGTTGCCTCTGAAGAAGAACTTCTGCAACTCAGTTGGACTCACTACACATGGATTTCCTCCCATAAAATAAAAAAACCCCTTCCAATTGAACATGTATTGCTCATCTATCCCAATGCTGGAAATTACTTGCAAAATTACTGAATTCGGATGACACATGCAATCATCATCCCCTCCTGCTGCCAAAAAAATGGCATGACCCTCTTTAAAAATATTCTTGAGACTTAGGATTTTCTGGGTCAGGAAGTGTAACAATAATAAAAATGTTCTTGTCCCTAACTCTTGTTTCTGTCCTGACAGGTGGAGGTGAATGTGAGTGTGCGCCACATGTACCTGTACAGCCGCGAGGTGCGTGGGGTGGTGGCACGTCTCCGCACCGAGTGTGGGTCACTGTCCGTGCACGCAGTTGCCTTGGCCCACACTCAAGGTGATCTGAACAAGGCCTTGGGACACGTTCGTAATGAGAAACAGGCAAATGTGCAAGCTTCTAGCATGCGATCGCGACGACCTACACGTGAGGTGGTAAGTCTTGAATAATAATAATTTAGTTGTCGAGGATGCTTTCCTTAAATGTGCGACAACGAATACCGAAATGACGTAAATCAACGCAATTTTGCCACGAGGACTAAACAATGCTGAAGCCGTGTTAATGCGTGCATCTTCATCCTAGACGTATCCGCAACATTACATTCAATTACTAAAAATACTACACTCAATACTAGTTTCGGCAGTAAACATTAAAACATTATTAGCAGTACATTATGAAAATAAAATCACTAAAATATCATGCGTAATTACTATATTGTACTCCATAGTACAGTACAGAACATTTCTTTATGCGCGATGCAAAGTAGTTTGTGTACAGGGTTAGGTGGAGGTGAAGGTTGAGAGGCGACGGTTACGAGAAAGGGCAGACGATGCTGTCAGCGACATGAGTGTGGGTTGAGGCAACGCTAGTCGGGTAGCGGTGGTGTTGATAATGAAGTGGCAACGTATTTTCTAAACGATATAAAAGGGGGAGGTGTAAAATCGCAAGGCTTACAGCGCAAGGCTATCACGAAGGCGCAGTACAGCACATACAGTAGTCTGCAGTAGCTACATGTTGTGATGTTGCTTTGTGGAATGCCAATTGAGGAATTTGTCGGTCATTTGTGAATTTGGAAAATTTTAACCATGACAGCAACACACATTGGCCTACTCTTATCAAACTAGATTCTTTGCCCATCCTAGGACGGAAGCTGTAATATTTACGAAAAAAATTAGCAGAGTATAATTGTATCTTGTGTTAATTAAATGGCAGTGAATCTTGCACGAAATTATGTCATACAACACTTCACTGCATTTCACTGTAGCACTGTATATAACTGACCTTCAATTTGTTCTAATTCACTGCTCTGATACTTTATTATTTTCTGCTTTCGGTCGCTGGGGTGCAAATAAATTGGATTGCAATACAATATCTGGAAAATCACCGAGAAATGTCTATTTAACCAAAATGTAGAAGCATAAATTAGACTTATCTTAGGAAAAAATATAGACCCCAAATCCAATTTGTTGCCACGTAGAATTATTTATTAGATTTATTTTAAATAAAGAAACGTGAAACTTAAAGCGAATTTGCAACAAATAATAATTCTGCTCTACCTTAATGACGGGGGTGCGGCATGTGGAGTGACGTCACGCGCGGGACACAAACACCCTAATTAATAATCATGAGCGGATGACGTCACTGATGTGGACCACGCCACCCACCCCCTCATTAATAATCAAGAGTGGATGATGTCATTCCACATGGAGTTCCCCCCCTGATCAATAATCATGAGCGGATTCCGTCACTCCACATGGAGCTCCCCCCCTTCATCAATAATCATGGTATGATGACGTCACTCATGTGGACCCTGGCCCCACCCCCTCATTAATAATCATGAGCGGGTCTTTATTTTGGATTGAATATTTCAGATTAACTGCAATACACCCGTCCTTGGACGGGCTATAGGCTACTTTTATAATAATTTAGAAGCAAAAATTAGACTTACCTTTTGTTTCAAGTGCTGAAGAAATAAATAAAGACACCAAATACACTTTGTTGCTGCGTATAAATATTGATTTGATTACATTTCAATAAAGAAACGTCAAATTTAAAGTTAATTTGCGTAAAACAAATTATTTCCAATCAACCTGCGGGAATGTAAAAATCCACCCGCTCATGATTATGAATGAGGGGGGGGTGTCTCTTTTGCAGTGACGTCACGTACGGATTTAGCACTGCTGCGTATATTTATTTTTTACTTTCTGTAAAGAAACGTCATATTTGAAGCAACTTTGCGAAAAAACTATCTTTCCACTCGGCCTTCCGCGCGAGTGTAAAAATCCACCCGCTCATGATTATTTTATTATTAATGAAGGGGGAGGGGGTATGTGGAGTGACGTCACGTGCATTACACACATTTCTGGGCTATTATAGTAGTAATGCCATCAGCGGGAATTGTAACGTCCACTATGAAGCGTCACTTTCATGTAAATTGCATCATCAGAATCGCTGATTTAGATCTCTGTATCGCGAGAAGAAAGCTCAAAGTGGTCCATGGGTGACCGGGATTTTGCTTCGGTGGCCATTGGACTTTGGAACTCTGTCTCAAAGTTGGTCAGGGAGTCTAGTTCAGTTTGGGCCTTCAGGTCCCCCCTAAAAATATTTATCTTTTAAGAAAGCATCTCGAATTTTAACTTAGCCACTTCTTACCCCCCCCCCCCCCCCCATTGTAAGGCACCTTGATGTTTTATGCATGGGGTCAGTAAAAGAGAAGAAGCAGAAAGAGAAGTGTTGTGAGCTGCGGTCCTGAGTGAATGTGTGTACAGGTGAGCGTGTAGCTCGGTGAGTGAGCGTGTGGGTGATTTGCCACAGTGTAATGGTTAGCACACTGGATTTGCGATGATCCTAAGGTCACCAGTTTGTTTCTATGGCAGTTGAAACAACGGTGCAAGTCTCTCGAATTCCCCCCCCCCTACTGCCTCTGCCCAGCCAGTAATGTAAATGTTGTACAGCACAGTCCAAGGGCAGACTGCGTGTGGTGGGTAAAGTTTGGGTGCGCCCATCTCTTCATACCAATAACCCGACTGGAAACGATAACCACTCCCTGACTTTCAGAACTGATACTTGATTGATAATTGGTTTTTTACCCTTCTATCTGGCAACAAAACTGACACCTTTTTTGTTGCCAGATAGAAGGGTTAAAAACCAATTATCATATTTTTACTGGCAAATGAGGTTCCCATAGTGGTACTTGATTCTGAAAATGGTTGCAGGCTTATTGGTTACTGTTTAACAACCCTACCATGTACACTGGTACTCAGAGTGCTGGGAGCTCACTGAATGCATGTACTGTATGAACTCTTCTCTTGGTCTGGCTGGGACTGTAGGGTCCAGATGAAGTGGACCTGCTGCTTGGTGTTGAGCGGAAGCAGCTGGCAGAGTTGGAGAGTGTCCTAGCAGAAACGCTGCTGCGCACTGAAGCCTTACAGCAAGTATGTCAGCGCATCAAGCAGTACAGCGTAGCACACTGCAACACTGGTTTATTATTAATAGAGTGCCCCCTTCACACCGGGGTGACTCAGAGCGCTTTACAAGCAGTAAGCAACTTGCATCATATCTATGGGACCTTTTTGCCCAGTATCAAAAATAATGAAAAATAATGAAAAATAATCATAGGTTTTACCCTTTCTGGCAATACACCAGGAGGTTTTTAGATATTCCAACACCAAATAGATACCTTTTGCAAGGGATCAAGTCTATATTAACCACAAATACTTGTGGCAAAACATGCAAACAAACATGCTCTGATAATATATTCTTTGTCCTTGAAACTGATTGGCCTTGTCTGAGCAGTTTTAGACCAGAGAACACCAAAAGGTACACATTACAAGGACAATGCAAGTATCAGAACACGTATATCTCTGGTCGAGCATTAATATCTACAGGACATTTTTACCAGGATCAACAATGATGAAACATAAGAATAGGTTTTACCCTTTCTGGCAATAAAACAGATGTTAAGATATTCAAACATCAAATAGATACCTTTTGGAAGGCACAAGTCCTTTTTTAATCAATTTGCATCACATCTCAGCAAATTGAAAAAGGCATCACCAGCAGCAGCTGTCCCCGTGTGGCACAAGAGGACTCCGCACCGACCAGCAAGAAGATATTAGTCTGCCGGTAGAGGGCGATGTTCCTATGGGTATCTCAATTGAGTAATTTGTGGGTCATTTCCCAAATTTGAACCATGACTTGCCAGCACACAATGACCTCATTTCAAATTGTTTCAGGGGATATTTAACGTCCACTGTGAAGCAGATAGCGTATACAGTCTATTTTCCTATAACGTGGTAGTTGCGTTCCTGCAGAACACCGTGTTATAGAAAAATGGCATTATAATAGATAATATAACATAGGATAAAGCACAGTCAGCGATAACACGTGAGATGCGTACGCAGGCCGAACAAACACTGAGGTGCGTGGATAGCATCTAGAAGCATCCAGCAGCATTCCGCCTTGTGCGATAATGCTTCGCCGAGGTAGCCGTACAACCACTTATTCCTACTCGTGCAAAGTAGTTCCATTCACTCAATCGCGTTATCTCCAATTCGCTTCCGCATTGTAAAAATGTGTTCCCTAATATATTCATTGCATTACATAAAATTCGCGTTATGAAAACTATGCGTTATCGGAGATCAGACTATTTATATGATTAATAAACTCAAATGAGTAACCAGGGCGGCCTGCCAGATTCAAACCGCAAACCTTTTGAAACAAGCGGCGGACACGCTCCTGTTGGGCCATGTCACCACCCCGTTGTGTTCATGCACACAACTCACTCGTCTTATACATGCACTGCTCTTGTTGAGGAAAAGCCTAGTTACTGCTGCCTGAATGGATTGCCAGATATTCCATGGTGTTTTTTTGCAATTGAGCACAGAACTTTGCATTCCTTCCAGTCGTAATTTTTTTTAATTCGTTTAACAGTTTTAACTAACATCAAAACTAGTAAGAAAAGTGTTATTTTAAAAAGTAATTGGGCTCGGGCAGGATATAATCCTGACGAGAAGGGGTAAGTGAGCGATGGTTAAGAATCACAATGGAGTTGCACTGAAGGAATGGAATGCGATCAAGGAGATGGAGTGATGGAGTGATATAATCAATTCGCGTGCTGGTGCTGGATGGATTCCTGCAGTGCAGGATCCTGAGAGGTGGCAGTGGCATGGGGAGGTATTCATCTGGCAGTGGATTGGGCATGGCTGATAATGGTGATGAGCAGGTTTACTAAGATAGTACCTATTCGACTTGAGGGCACTACATTATTTGTAAATGTATATATTGCATGTTTGCACCTCCAATTAGCACGGTTGGCTACGTACGGTGCGAAAGAAGTTAGACATACATATGGAC